CGAGGAAGGGAGAGAAGTAGTTCCAATTTGGAACAAGTGAGTCCCAGGCAGCGTGTGGTAGGTGTAGCTGTAGCAAAGACGATGGACAAAAGATAAGTGTACCCAAGTGAATGGGACAGCAATGAACATGGTCGACGCAAGGGGATGAACCTTCTCCAGCTCAAAAACTACCCACCCACACTCCAACCAGGCAAGACGAGCGACCGATGTTTTGATAGTATATGATGGCAGATTGATGTCATAAAGATGGACCTGTTGCCCAATTTGGACTGGCCGCCGGGGCTTTGCTGAGATCAGCAGTGGCACGTGGTAGTTGACAGATCGGCGACGGAAGCGGATAGGAAGTGGTGATATCAGAAATGCTGGGGGTGCAAATAAGATGAGGAGGAGGAGGGTGGAGGTGACAAAAAGGTGGATTAGAATGGGGATCCAGAAACGACCGTCAGGTGAGAATAAAAAGGAGAGGAAGGGGCCCATGGTGGGGCTAGGCAAAGGAAGGGGAGTAAGGGAAATGACAAAAACGAGGGCACAATGCAATGTGTAGCCAGTGGCGACGCAAAAATTTGCCGAAATGCTGAAATGCCGAAAGTACCGAATGGAAAAGCAAAGGTGAGCATGACTGGATTGCCTAATAGAGGTGGTGCTGATCAGCCACAAGTTCCAAAAAGGCAATATTAATTACTATTCCACGTGGCACTGTGCCTGTGTGGCGCAAAGGCGAGTCTTTTTGAATATTCGCTTCGTTATTGACACCTGTCCATGCTACCAATCAACTTTGGTGCATGACATGTTAGGCTATGAGAAGACTAAAAAAGAGTATTTCTCAGTCTTATAATCAAGAGACTAATATTGAAGGATAATATACCTGAAAGAGAGTATTTCTAATAGTGTAAAGTGAGTATGATGATATAAAGTAAACTGTAAAATAACCAGACATACCTCAGTCTTATAATCAAGAGACTGAGGTTTGTGTAAGGCAGAGTGCTACGAGTTTTTGGAATAAGTGTGGGAAAGTTTTGAGCTTATGTAATGTAGTGGAAAAGCGGTCAAGTAGAGATGAAAGAATGGTGTATGGAAATGAAGAAATAAAAGGATAAAATGATAGGATGTGAGTGTATCATAAACAGGATATGCCAACATGACACCACTAGTGGTGTATGCATATGGGGTGACACTGTTGAGTCTATGGATTGTCATGTAGAGATGAAAGAATGGTGTATGGAAATGAAGAAATAAAAGGATAAAATGATAGGATGTGAGTGTATCATAAACAGGATATGCCAACATGACACCACTAGTGGTGTATGCATATGGGGTGACACTGTTGAGTCTATGGATTGTCATGTATGGACACAAATATTGATGGATTTTTGTAGGTCTGTCATTCTCTAGATCAGCTTGTCACCAGTGTTTGATCTGCATTTCCCAGGCTCAGGTAGAGAGAGTATCTGTGGCCGGTTTTCTTGGTTTCCTTGGAGTCTTTGCGTGCAGAAGCCAGCACCAACACAAACTTTAATACAAGGTGCCATATGTTGTATCTGACTTTAACCGGCCAACTTCAGTGAGTACCTATATATATTGTCTACGGAGGCAACTGGCTAAAACCTTTTTGTTATAGAAACATAGTTAATGATCTTCCTGCAGCCATTCCTGCAGCCCCAGCTGCTGGGGGCGTTCCCACACAGACTGTTGTACTCCCTTACTATTCATCTATCTTGACTACTGTGAGCATCAATTCAGCACCTTCTCAAGCCATTACCCCCGCTTCTATTGACTCAACAGCTACTGCTCGATCAGCAGATCAAATATTTGGTCCAGTTGAAGGCCCTTCATTTTCTGTTTCCAGCACAGGCTATGCAGGATTAGGTGGCTACCATGGTTCTGTGCATCACAACATAAAGCCCCGCAGAAGGAGATATTTGTTTGGAATTTTGGTTTCTTGTTATAAGGCAATTAGAATACATAATATATGCTGCGTTACTATTTCATGGTACATTCCTATCCCAGGATACCACACAGGTACCCATGCTTGACATGAATACATATAATAAATCATAATAATGTCCCCTTGGTTTGAGGTGATACAGAACTGAAACACACGTTGTTTAGCAGACTTCAATGACTAAAAATAAGCGGGAGAGTATACCATGATAATATATGTGGTTGGTCGATAACCGTGCATGTGCTCCTGCAATGGTGCATCAGTAGTCTGTTCAGACTCAAGTAGTTTGGACAATATTTAGGGTTATCTCACCTGTGGTTACATTTCTATTGTATGTATGCTGATGGTATTTTAGTATTAATAGCTGTATTCTATTATATTGTAGAGCATTACACAGTACAAATACTAGAATGAATAGTGATACTTTTCATGTCCTCACTGTCCTAGAGTTATAATGTAGGAAGTTATGGTGTAGAACTCTAACCCAATACTTTTAACTAGCATCACTACTGTAAATAAATACTACACAGATCAGATGTAAAACTACAAGTCAAAGGACAAGGAAGATTTGGATGAGTTGAAAGTCAAATTGCTTTTGACTTTTGACTCATTGTGATAGTGGTGGTGGTGATGGTGCCCCATCACATTGATGTTATTTTGTTAGAACCCGCTTACACCATTGGAGGTTCCCCGGGTGGCTTCTACATACCTTCTCTTGCCAAACAAGACAGGCAATTGTAATAGCCTCTGCTAAAAATGGGGCATTTAGTTTGTCGCAAAGCATAAAAGCCTTGTAACGCACTGAGGCATTTTCCTATGAGAGAGTCTCAGCAATTTGAGAGGCTAGCGGGAAACATTACTTACCTGAGAAGTCCGTGCCTCTGGGCTGGCTCTATGTTGGTATGCATGCAAATGAAAGATCTGGATATTTGTTAGTATAAATAACACCAGAAGTGAGACTAGAGCACTTACAGACGTAGTTGCAATGCCTGCAATGAAGGTCACTGTCAGAACTGTGGCCTCTTCAGAGTAACGGAGCTGCGGAGTACAGGGGTGAAGTAACGGAATATGGGGGCAAGATGGGGAGTCGGCTTAGCTTGTGCGCTAGGCCCTTCCACGGACCTTGGTCCCTAGCTCGTTGGAAGTGGACGGAGGAGAAGTAGAGGATGAAAAGGAGCAGAGTAAAGATCCTTCTCCGAGGACTTAGAAAAGGATTGGTAAGAAGGCAAGGAAATCTAGTTGATATTTGAACTGCAGGAACGGGGTATAGAAGTCACAACTTATATACTGTCGGGGAAGCAGGAGATTGTAAGGAGTAAGGAGTAATGTAGGTACGGAGTTCCATGCGGACAATTATCTAGCAAGAGGAACATGTATGTGTGAGGTGTTACAATAACATAATTTTTGGACCTTCCCTTTAATTTTCAAACTCCTCTTTCTCATGTTGCGCTGCTTTCTTCTTATTTTAGCTACAAGTCTCTCACACAGTGGAGCTGGTCACACGGGCTGCACCCTCTGACATCATCAGCCACTGCTTTATCAACTATATAGTACATACGTACAAACAAACCTGTAACAGTATATAAACCCCAATAGATCAAGGAGACTCCTCAGCGAGTCCTCCTGTTGTATACCAACAAACTCTCTGCAGCTTGAGGGGTAACCACTCCCTCATCACTACCTTTATAGTGTGTACCTGTGTGCGCCAGAGTAACTAACTCTTGGTTGTTACATGAGGAGTGTATCATAAGGTCTAACTACGGATTCCATGAGGAATACTAGAACGTGCAAGGAGAATGTATGGCGGACTAGAAGTTTGGTGCAGGAGTATTGGAGTGGACAACCGGAGTACCATGTGGAAATGGAGCATAGAGTTATGCCGACCGGCAGACCACAAGGAACATAATCCCGAGTATACCAATGGTTTGGGGGTTTTGGACTCGGAGATGCCGGAGTTCTGTCTTCTGGTACGGATATGACAGCCACATTGATTTCCCTGGCATTACAGGGCATAGTGAGTGGCTGTCAGTTTAATAGCAGACTATAGATTTGGGCAGATCAGATCTATTGTGGTAGAAGACAGTAATAGGAATAGAACTCACTGAACAATCTGATCAATATTGATGGATTGACCTTTGGTGTTTGCAGCACAATTTAAACTTGGCTTGAAACTTGAACGGCCCAGGAGTAAGATATTGATAACCACAGTGTAATGATTGATTGGGCTCACTCATAATGAATTTGCCAATCTGCCGCATTTGCTGATCCTTAGTAATCCAGGTATGCCACATCTCAGATTTTTGCCACCTTGTCCCCTTTGCCACTTGGTCAGTGTAAGTATTTCATCTTCCCCACTGTCAATGATTTTTGCAAAATGGTTAAACATTGCACTTCCTTGAACAGATTCACCATCTCAAATTCCAAGGGACAACATTCTGTTGTAAAGCATCAGAAGGTCCAAATTGTAGCAACAACACACAGAACCAAATAGTACCAGTGAGCCTTAGTTTTTAGCAGCAAAATAATAGATATTTTCTCACTTGTGTAGGAGCTCTTGTTTCTGCAAGCCAAATACTGAAGGTCCAGATCAGACCTCTGATGCTCATCAAGTTACATCAGGTCTGTTGTGAATCTATCAAATTTGAGTTAAAGGCATTTGAGTTGACTCATTTGTCTCAAAGGCAATTAATCAACAGGGCGAGGTATAGAGGACATTAATAGTACAACAGATGTGTCGCCTCCTTTGGATGACTCTGGTGATCAGACTCCACTGGCTGCAGCAATATCACCTAGTGATGTGAACACTGGCATATCAAGCCTCTCTCTTTCTTTAGACAACTCCAGTATTCAAGTTCACCTAGCTGCTCTTTTGCCTACTATACCCTCATTGCCCAACTCCAATATTGCACAAGATACACTAGATACTTCTGGCAGACAATCCAGGTCTGCTCTTGAGATCCCCCTTCGACAAACAACCCCACAGTCTTGAACCAGTTAAGTAGTTTATCACCATCATGCATAAGTGTGAGACACTGACAACAATATAGGTCAATGTGACATGGCCCCTAGTGTCAAAGAACTCCAGAAGACTACTGATTACCTCAAGGCCAAAATACAAGATGCTCATCAAAGCACAGCTGTTGCTGAAAACCTCATATCTATATGGGCAGGACGTGTGTGATATTATTGGTGCCAACAATTGATGGAGGCTAAGGAACGGAAACTGTTAGTACTGCACATCCCAAACAGTGATACAATCTTTTGTGAATCCCAGGCTTGTCCTTGGGCTTCCTCTCCCACTTCAGTCAACCTATTTCCATGGCTTCTTAGGTTGATCAGTTACTGTTCAATGATATGCCTAATAAGAGGCCTTTATCCTGGGATTATCCCATAGGCAGGTAATCCATACAGGACTCCCTTGAGTTAAGGTCATCCAAGAACAATTTGAGAATCCTGGGACTCCAAAGTGGTGTCAGGGGTCCTAGTATTGATTTAAATTTTGAGATTTATATTGTTACAAGGTAGGACTATCCTAAGATGTTATTAAATTACTATACCCTGGATGTTCTTTGGGAGTACCTGTATGGTGTCCACAATACTCAATGAGACTATTATTTGTACTGCTGGTGTCTTAATAGTTTCCTAAAATATTCTTATTTGTACCTGGATGTTCTTTGAAAGTACCAGATAGTGTTCAGAATATCCAAAGAAACTAATATTGGTACAATTAGTGTCCCAATGGTCTTCTAAAATTTCTCAATTGTGCCCTGGATGTTTTTTTGGAGTACCTGTATGGTGTTCACAACATCCAATAAGACTATCCTGTTTCCCAATCTTACATAGGTATCCTTTAGAAGTACCTGTACACTGTCTGGAATATCCAATGAGACCACTGGGTATCCCCTGATGCTCCTATAGGATGTCGCTGCTGTACCTGGATATTCTTTACTCTTACCTACAATATATTCAGAAGATCCAATGAGACTACTATTCATACTGTTGGTGTCCCAATAGTCATACAAAATAGTTAGGTTTTACCTAGATATCCTTTGGGAGTACCACATAGTCTCTAGAGCATCCAATGTAACTACTTTGGGTATTACTTTTGTCCCACTGATACTCCTATAGGATGTCCTTTCAGAGTACCCATACCCACATGGTATTCAGAAGACCCAACAAAACTAATATTTGTACTGCAAGTATCCTGATAGTCTTAAAAAATATTCATATTGTATCTGGATATCCTTTGGGAGTACCAAATAGGGTTAAGAGCATCTAATATGACTACTTTGGGCATGGCTGGCTGGAAATGCAATGATGCGTTCTGCAAGGCGCTGAAACTTTGTCTTGATGCTGCAAGAGGTTGGGATTGTGTCCATCGTGTCATCCATTGCATCGTCCATCATTGAAAGTATCTGGGTGGCCCAAAAAGAGAGCAGTTTTTCCATGCACAATGTGTAACAACCCAGAGTTAGTTACTCTGGCGCACACAAGAACACACTATAAGGAAGATGTTGAGGGAGTGGTTACCCCTTAAGCTGCAGAGAGTTTGTTGGTATACAACAGGAGGACTCGCTGAGGAGTCTCCTGGATCTATTGGGGTATATATACTACTACAGGTTGTTTGTACATGTGTACTATACAGTTGATGAAGGCAGTGGCTGATGATGTCATAGGGTCTAGCCCGTATGGCCAGCTCTACTGCGTGAGAGAGTTAAGTCTAAAAGTAAAAGAAAGGCAACGCGGCGCGAGAAAGGGAAATGCCGCGTGGCACTTAAAGTATAAAGTTAAAGCGGAGAATAAAAAGGACAGGAGATGTCCGGAAATTGTGTTATCGTAACACAATGTGAGCATTTGGGTAAGCAAAACATACTACAATGTAGATTGATATTAGCAGGAATATACTGTAAGTGAAATTGAAGACTTACTTTAGTTCAACAGAATTGAACAGCCTGTCCGCATCTTTGAGAGACGTACAATCAAAGATTTTCTTGAGGAAAAGACCCGGGAAGGTAAGTGGGAGGGACTGGCATAGGCGCACAATGGTGGGGATGATTTGGGCATGGACAAGAGCACCAACACCTTATAAAAAGTGAGTAGCTGCTTGTTGGGGGTGGGAGAGGGGTGAGGAGGAGGACAGAGCGGCTCACCACCTGTTCCAGGGTCCCTCAGCACCTTTGCAACCTCCCATGGCTCTCTAGAGCCCACCCTACTCAATGTCCAATGCATGTTGAAGCCAACAATGAGGACAAGAGAGTAGATTGTTCCACCAGCAGCAATTTGCATGTACTTCCAGCCAGTCAAGATCCACTGGTAGAATGCATGCTCAGTGGGACATCCAGCAAGGCCCTTTACCTTTCCATCATAAAGGCCCTTGAGGTTTTGGTAAGGACCTGCAGCACTTAGCAGGCTCAAGTCCGTGTAAGTGTCAGGCAATAAATACGAAGCTATATAACAAGAACAGATGTCTGGTCAAGTCCCTTGAAGAGGGCAGTGAATCAGAGTACTGAAGTTGAAGAGTATCAGTATAGGTGCAAATCCAAACTAATATTGAAGTAAGGAATAATACATTGAGTATGTACTTCCTTATATAGTAAATAGTGATGGTCAGACCGAAAGAGGGAAGAGTTAAGAAAGTGGTCTGACCAGCCAACTAACCAATAAGAAAAAAAAAGCAAAAGTGGTCTGATCTATTGTATTTACTAATTGTGTGAGAAAGAGTATTGGTAAGAGATGTACAATTGGCTGTATCAGTAAGCCCATGAGAAGACGCTGTCGAAGATGAGAACTGCTGTTAGAAAACCACACACAAAACAAACTAACACACAATCCTCCCAGATTCCATGGAATTTGTTTATGGGCTTTGCCTCCTAGAACAGTGGGTGCTCTGGTTGTTCGTGGGGTGGTATGTATAACGATCCTTCAAAGTAAAACCAGAGATGTATGGGTGTGGGTTTTGAGGAGGAGGGATAGTTGAACTATAGAAGATAGGGGCTTTTTGAGATGAATATAGGATGAGCACTACCTTGCTAATCTTAGCACAAGGTAGGTTTGAGAACAACAAGATGATGAGGTTCCCAGTGATAGCAGGCTCCTGACGCACAAACTGTAGTGCTCAGAAGGACTCTAATTGAAAGGGATGACAATGACTTTCAAAAGTGACGAGTGACAATGACAGCAGTTAACAGTGGTAGCAGTGGGAATTGTTGTGACCACACTGGATCACAAGTAGCAGAGAGTAGTGAACTTGAGATTAGAGAAGAAGTCTGGATTGGAGTTCTTGTTGTTTTTACAAGGTAAAATACAGGGGTTTATATAGTAAAAGAAAGGGAGGCTATGCACAGTATAGCTGTGCAAAAAGAATGAAAAAAAACATGAAGAAAAGACTGTATGCTGATGAATCCTGCGTAGGTAGTACAGGATAAGATCATCAAAATAAGGAAAAGAAAGAGATAGAACAATGAATGCTGTGTAAGTAATGTCACAGGTTTGTACAGCCATTAAAATAAAGTCCAATAGCAGAAAGAGAGCAAGAAAATCATGATGTCATGTCATGGGAAGATGCAGTAAAAAAGGGCAAAGCCAAAAAAATATCAGTATCAACACAGTTCCTTTATAGTCAGTCAGGCATTCTAAAAAAATATGTGTCCATAAAAATGATTCAAAAATCAAAATTAATTGCACTGTAAATGAATGTTCTGCTGAAAAAAAAGAAACTGGAGCCACCGGTCCACCACCTAGTCCAAATCCGACAGTTCCATGGCCTTACCAATAGACTGGTTGTACTGGACCACCTGGTCAAACAAGGGAGGGAGGGGAGTAGTTCCAATTTGGAACAAGTGAGTCCCAGGTAGCGTGTGGTAGGTGTAGCTGTAGCAAAGATGATGGACAAAAGATAAGTGTACCCAAGTGAATGGGACAGCAATGAACATGGTTGACGCAAGGGGATGAACCTTCTCCAGCTCAAAAACTACCCACCCACGCTCCAACCAGGCAAGACAAGCAACCAATGTGTTGATGGTATATGATGGAAGATCAATGTCATGAAGATGGACCTTTTGCCCAATTTGGACCGGCGGCCAGGGCTTTGCTGATATCAGCAGCGGCACATGGTGGTCAACGGATTGGCAATGGAAACGGATAGAAAGTGGTGACATCAGATATGGTGGGGGAGCAAAGAAGATGAGGAGGAGGAGGGTGGAGGTGACAAGGAGGTGAACCAGAATAGGGATGCAGAAACTACCATTGGGTGAGAATAAAAAAGAGAGTAAGGGTCCCATGGTGGGACTGAGTAAAGAAAAAAAAGTAAGCGAGGGCGACGAAAGCGAGGGCGCAATGTGTAGCCAGTGGCGATGCGAAAATTTGCCAAAATGCCAAAATGCCAAAAGTACCGAATGGAAAAGCAAAGGTGAACGCGACTGGATTGCCTAATAGAGGTGGTACTGATCAGCCACAAGTTCGACAAAGGCAATATTAATTACTATTTCACGTGGCACTGTGCCTGTGTGGCGCAAAGGCGAGTCTTTTTGAATATTCGCTTCTTTCTTGACACCTGTCCATGCTACCAATCAACTTTGGTGCATGACACCGTGATCAGTTCTCTCAGGAGGTGGTCCATCATTGTCTGGAAGGTTGCCGGTGAGTTGGTAAGTCCAAAGAACATGACAAGGGGTTCAAACAGGCCGCAATTGGTCCTGAAAGCGGCCTTATGTTCGTCTCCTTCTTGGATTTGGACATTGTTGTATCCCCATTGTACATCTAGCTTTGTGAAGTAGTTGGCACCTTTGAGTTTATCAATGAGTTCTGATATGAGGGGGAGGGTGTAGCGATTCTTTATGGTAAGCTTGTTCAGCTTGTGATAGTCTTGGACAGGGCATAGCGAACCATCTTTTTTTTGGATAAAGAAGAATGGGGATGTGTAGGGTGACTTGGATACTTGGATTTGTCCACTCTTCAGATTCTCGTTGAGGAATTTGTCTAAATGGTGTTGTTCATCTCGGCTAAGAGGGTACATTTTGCAGTCAAGACCGTTAGCCTCGGGTACTAATTCAATGGCGTGGTCCCAAGGGCGTTTTGGGGGAAGTTTGTCAAATGATTCTTTGGTAAAGACGGGTTCAAATTCATGGTAGACTGGGGGGACAACGTCTCAGAAGGTGAGTTTTGACTTTGCCTTTTCGGAGGACTCAGCTATCTGTTGACTTTTAGTGGCAAAGGTGTTCAATTCTAACTGTGTTATCTCCATGATTCGAGTTTCAAGATTGACGGCTAAGATTTTATCCCCTTCTTCAGAATGATACTCCAAATCATCGGTAGGGAACGTAATCTTGTTGGCCCACCAATCAATTGAAGGATTGGTAAGTATTAACCAGTTGTGTCCCAGTAGTATGCGTGGCGAAAGTAGTGAAGCCACAATGACATCTATTAAATGTTCTTTCCCTTTCACATTAATGTGGATGGTGACATAGCATGTTACTTTCTGGGATCGACCATCGGCTCCTGCGGCGTCAAGAGGGATGGGGAGCGGTGTGGTGTTGAGGGTATACTTGTCAATCAGGCTTTGGTCAATAACTGAGTTGGTGCAGCCGGAGTTGATAAGAGTAGGTACAGTGAACATTTGTCTGTCGTCTGTGGTAGTCACTTGAGAAATGACATGGAGGCTGCATTTTGGCATGGGTCTGTGCGGTGAGGTATAAGCATGGATGTGTTCTACAATATTCTCTTCATCATGACTCTTTAGCATCTGTATTGCTTGCAGGGTGATATGCTTGTAATGGTCTTTATGCGCCCAATTTTGTAGTGGAGCCCTTGCTCTTTCTGGTTTCTGGTCTTTGATTCGTCTGGCCAGCCATTCCGGTGAATGTGGCTTTGCGTAGTTTTTGGTTACCGCACGTAGATGTTGATCAACCCGATTCATTGCAGTCGTTGGTAGTGTACAAGAGTTAGATACAACATTATGGGTCAGAGAGTCCGTGCTTACTCCTGACCATTTTGAAAATCCTTCGGAGGTGCTTCAATTTCTTTCAATGATGACGTAGTGGGAGTGTCTTTGGTTTCCTCCGTTTCCATATAACGTATTGCCACCTTTCTGTGTGGACAATTCCTAGAAATGTGGCCTTGCTTGCCGCAATCGTAACAAATAATGTTCGGGTTGGGCCAACATTGTCTCTGCGTGTTTGAACTCCCAATCTCCATAGGTACACCTGATCCTCCAAACATTCCTGCTGTGTTTGGATGGACTGCATCCTGGGGCGGCGGCCTCTGTGGTGGAGTATAATATGATTGTTGTTGGATATACTGTGGTCTTCGCATCTCTGTACACGGTACTGCTTGTTGATGCTGTGGTGGCGGGTATTTTTGATTCTGTTGATAACGTGGTTAATATTGTTGGTACTGAGGTGGCGACAGTCTCTGTTGTGGGGGTCTGTCTCTCCTCCTTTCCAGATTAAGTTCTTCATTTTGCTGCTCCCACTTCCTGGCTGCTACCTTCCATTCTGAGTATGTAGTGGGTAGGTTTTCCTGTTGCAAAATACAATCCCGAAGGAATTGAGAGAGGTTGCGGCGAAGGATACTGTGAATGAACAGATAACTTTCATGTGCATCTGGTGGCAACCCTGCTTCCATAAGTTTGGATTTGAGTCCTCCAAAGTAGGCATCAACCGTCATCTCTCTTTGCTTGTAGCTATGAAGAGTGATTTCTGCTTTCAACTTGAGATGGGGGTCCAGGAATTCATTATCTAATTCCTTGATAAACTCCGAGATAGTTCCCCAATTCCGTGGTGCAAATAAGTCTCCTAGCACTGTTGTTCTGTTGTTGAAATTTGCCTTCCAAGTGTGGCAGGCGTCATTGGCTTTATCAGACGAGATTCGAGATAGTGCAAAAAGGATTTTGGAGGAATTGGTTTGGAAACTTTTGGGATAAGCAAAAAAGTAGTTTGCTAATGCATTCTTCCAGTCAACATATGTTTCCTTTTTGCCAATGAATTCAAATGGAGGAGAAGCAAGGACGGCCTTGCTGCCTTGATTCAATTTGTTGGTCATTTTTGCTGCTAGATCAGGTTCAAGGTCTAGAGACTCTTGATCGAACCAGTTGTCAGGTTGGTTTTTGGGTAGTGGATTCTGAGGGGTGGAGGAAAGTCTTCCGGTCCTGCGGATTGATATAGATCGTCAGGTTCCAGGGCTTCAGCGGCAGCTCCTCAAGATTGTGGAGGAGGTGTTTCAGGAGTAACAAGAGGACAAGGTTCTCGATAAGGCTCCAGTGTTAACGAGTTAGATAACAAGTCTTAGATAACAAGTCTTAGATAACAAGTCTCTGTTTAATTAAAGTCTGGGTCAAATACAAAGTTAGTGGGAAAATCTCCTCCCTCTGCTTCCTGAGGTCTCCAGTATTCTATTCCTCCAGTAGACTCTTCACCTTCCGACTCTGTCCCTTTGTCTGATTTGCTTCCAATTATATCTTCCAACGAACTTCCCGTTTCTAATTCGATTTGCTCCGTGCAAGGTGCAAAAAGTTGCTCAACTGACGGGATGAGTGGTGTCTCTCGTCTTCGACCTTGGTAGGTGTACGAGTATTGCGAGTAGATACAACTTTGTGGACTGTGATTGACAATGGCCCAGAAGTTGCTTTGGATAACAGTAACGATGAAGTGTTTGGGGTAGTCTGATTGCTGATTAACAACGAACAGTGTGAGAATTTTTAAGACCCAGTAATACTTCTCAACATATTCTGAAATGTATCGGATATTGTCAATTTCGGTTGTGTAGTCTTCTCCGTCACAGAATTTCCTTTGTGCAGTTGCGATGAGCTGATCAAATTGAGCTAATCCAGTGACAACTCGTTGAATATGATCTTTGGTAGAAGGCGTAACAATGACGATAGAAGTACTATGTTGAAGACCAAAGTGTGGTCCAAATGCGTCAAGATCTTCGACTTGGGGGAGATAGAGAGTATGACGGAGTCATCTCAAATAATGGACAATAGAAAGATCGTTGAGGTGGTTGCTGATACAAAAGTACTGGATGGGTTGATAATGGACTGGAGAGGCAGAGTAGATGTCATAGTAGTTGTTACGATAACACAATTTTTGGACCTTCCCTTTACTTTTATTCTTCGCTTTAACCTTGTACTTTAGCTTTCACACATGGTGCCACGAGGCACTTCCCCCTTTTTTGGTTCTAACTCCTCTTTCTCACGCCGCATTGCCTTTCTTCTTATTTTGGACTCAACTCTCTCACACAGTGGAGCTGATCATGCGGGCTAGGCCCCATGACATCATCAGCCACTGTCTCTATCAACTGTATAGTACACATGTACAAATAACCCTGTAGTAGTATATATACCCCAATAGATCAAGGAGACTCCTCAGCGAGTCCTCCTGTTGTTAACCAACAAACTCTCTGCAGCCTAAGGGGTAACCACTCCCTCATCACCTTCCTTACAGTGTGTTTCTGTGTGCGCCAGAGTAACTAACTCTTGGTTGTTACAGTAGTCTTCAGTAAAAAATGAAGAAGGGATGTCATAGGTGGGTTCTCCATAGGGCCTCTTCCTTAGAACAATACCACAAAGCAAGGTGTGTTCAAAATCGTAGGGGAGGAGGCGGCTGGGTATGTCCGAAAATGAAAGAGGGCAAATACGATAAAGTTCGAGGAGAGAGGGAATATAGTCTTGTGAAATGAGATATAGGTTTTGTTCCTGTACGGTGGCTGCTCCTTTCAAAAGCTTAACCCTCTGAGTGTTCTTGTAACTCGAGCGTACTAGACTCTCGAAGTAGTTGCTCAACAGAATTTGTCCGTGCTGCAGGAATATGAAGATTAAAAGTTCTCTCCATGCCTTGTCTGAGACGTTGGTGTAACAACCAAGAGTTAGTTACTCTGTTGCACAACTGGAACAAACTATAAAGGTAGTGATGAGGGAGTGGTAACCCCTTAGGTAGGACCGAGTTAGTTGTGGGTATACAACAGAAGGACTCGCTGAGGAGTCTCCTGGATCTATTGGGTGTTTATACTACTACAGTTTGTTTGTACATATGTACTATACAGTTGATGGAGGCAGTGGCTGATGATGTTGTGGGCGCAGCCCGTGTGACCAGCTCCACTGCGTGGGATATTTGTAACTAAAATAAGAAAAAATGCAGTGTAGCACAAGAAAGAGGAGTTTGAACAAAAGGGAAAGTGCCGCATGGCACTGTGTGTGAAAACTACAGAAAAAGGTTAAAGAGGAGAATGAAAATAAGGGTCCGAAAATTGTATTATCCTAACAGTAGGAGTACCTCCTCGAGGCTCCTAGAATTTCTGCTACAGATGGCGGAATGGTAAAATATAGACCGGGTGAGAGCAAGAGCGTCGTTTATTTTGAGGATGATTTCCTCAATTGGATCAATTAGAGAAAACGAAGCAGAGGAGTATTGATAAAGCTCAGTGATCTGCTGGACCATTTCTTCTGCATCTGGGGTACGGGCTTTGGTAGGGATGGGGAGGACCGGGAGCAGCTTGTTGAGGGCTGCGAGGAAATTTCTCTGGTGTCTGTGGTCCGCTTCTGACACCCACTTTTCTGAGTGCTGTTGGGATGTAGACATGGTGAAGGTAAACAACATCGCTGACGAGCTTGGTCTGAAGATATTGGATGATGGCAAAGAGTGCGAGGAATTGGACAAGAGTGGTGATGGTAGATAAGATGTCCAGTTTGAGGGGACTGGACGGTGATAGGTGTGGTGGTATGGATAGTAAGAGGTCAATGGCGAGGGTGAGGAGAGGGATAGGGATGATGGAGGTACGAAGAAGGTGACGATGAGGGTTTTAGACCGGTGCAAAGGCAACAACAGTCTTTTTCAAGGTATAGCGGAATGGTCTTCCAAAGGATTGCTCTGGAAAAGGATTCAAAGGTGAGTTCAATATTCTATCAGGCAACGAATACGAAGCTATATAACAAGAACAGATGTCTGGTCAAGTCCCTTGAAGAGGGCAGTGAATCAGAGTACTGAGGTTGAAGAGTATTGGTATAAGCGCAAATCCAAACTAATATTGAACTAAGGAATAATACATCGAGTATGTACTTCCTTATATAGTGAATAGCGATGGTCAGACCAAAAGAGGGAAGAGTTAAGAAAGTGGTCTGATCTATTGTATCTACTAATCATGTGAGAAATAGTATTGGTAAAAGGTGTACGATCGGTTGTATCAGTAAGCCCATGAGAAGGCGCTAATCCATAGCCTACCTCGCTTATCTATATTCCTCCGAAGTATTACCAGACATAGCATTGGATCATTACTATGTAATCTGGATATCTTCTTGAGGATCTACAACAGTTCTCCTTCGTTGTAAATACGATAGGATGTGAGTATGAATGGAAAATAAAAGTAAAAAAAGATAAGAGTAATAGAATGCCGACCGTGATCTCTAGCCCAAGAGTGAGAGGAGTGACAGGGAACAAATTGGATAACCACGACATGATGGGAATGCAATAAGAAAAATTGATTCCTTACAGATTCCCGGAAACGGTTATCTCCAATAGGGAACTGCAATTCGCTAGCGAATTTACAAAAGAGTTATGCCGGATGCTGGGCATCAAACCTAAATTATCAAAGGTGTTCCATCCGCAGACTGATGGACAAACGGAGAGGCTCAATCAGGAATTGAAGCAATACCTCCGTATATTTATTAACAACAGGCAGACAGATTGGGCCAAGTGGCTAAAGATAGCCCAGTTCTCATACAATATCAAACAGTCGTCGGCTACAGAAAAAGCACCATTCGAGGTTACAAGATTGTACCTTCCTAGAATGGGTGTAGAACCTGGCAAAAGCAAGAACGAGGCTGCTGAGAACATGGCCAAGGACATGAAGTCTGCATTAGATGAAATGTGCAAGGCGCTATTCAAAACTGCAGAGCAGATGAAAGACAGGGCAGAGCGTAGACGCTCCAAGGCCCCTGACTACAAGGTCGGCGACCTGGTTTGGTTAGATACCAACCACTTAAAATTGAAAGGTCGGCAGTCTAGAAAACTGACCAAAAAGTGGATTGGTCCTTACCGGATTAAGGAAGTCAAACCCAACACAGTGGAGCTGGAACTCCCAAAATGAATGAGGGTAGTACCCACGGTCAATATTAGCCGTGTGAAACCCTACAAAGGACCGCTGCCAGGACAGCGCGTGGACCGGCCTGGACTGCTTGTAGTCACCCAGGAAGGTGAAGAAGAGTTCAAAGTTGAACGAGTGGTGGATGCATGCTTGAAGCATGGAAAATTAGAGTTCCTAGTCCTATGGAAGGGCTATGGAGACGAAGACAGAACATGGGAACCAGAAGCCCATCTGGACAATTCTCGCAATGCTGTTTGTGAATTTTATTCTAAGAATCCCTCAGCTCCAAGGAAGTTTAGAGGCATGGATTCGAACCTTTTTAATTCCATTTTTCAACCTGTGCCCGAAAATTTAACTACTACCTCTGATATTTGGTCTCACCTGGAAGTCAAGCCTTAAAAGTGGGGTAGTGTTACGATAACACAATTTTCAGACCTTTAAATTTCATTCTCCTCTTTAACTTTCTTCTATAGTTTTCACACACTGTGCCATGCAACACTTTCCTTTGTTCAAACTCCCCTTTTCTCGCGCTGCACTGCTTTTCTTTATTTATAGCTACAAAACTCTCACACAGTGGAGCTGGTCACATGGGCTGTGCCCCATGACATCATCAGCCACTGCTTCCATCAACTGTATAGTACATATGTACAAATAACCTGTAGTAATATAAATACCCAATAGATCCAGGAGACTCCTCAGCGAGTCCTCCTGTTGTTTACCCACAACTAACTCGGTCCTATCCTAAGGGTAACCACTCCCCTCACTACCTTTACGGCTTTGTCTGAGTTGTGCGCCAGAGTATACAAACTCTTGGTTGTTACAAAAGTATAGCAGAGTAAATAATTCAATTGAGAATAATGAAATTTCAATATATTATCATACAGAAAGATTGTCCAAAATCCCTAAGAGAAGGGCCATTATTATTAGTACTTTTCTTATACTGTGACCTGGAACTTTGTTGAGATTTCATGCAAAGGTATTCCTGGATCTGTAGGATCCAGGTTTCCATTTCGCAACTGAAGTCTTTTTCTTTCCAGGAGCTTTCATACCCTTTTTGGATAGAACCACGTGACTGGCTGTTGCTGAGATATAGTGTTGATGATAAGAACTGTTGTTAGAGAACCACACATAAAAACAAACTAACTAAACAATCCTCCCAGACTCCACAGAACTCGTGTATGGGCTTTGCCTCCTAGAACAGTGGAGTGGTCTGGTTGTTCGTGGGGTGGTATGTATAATAATCCTTCAAAATAAAACCCAGAGATGTATGGATGTGGGTTTTGAGGAGGAGTGATAGTTGGAAGATAGATGATAGGGGCTTTGGGACAAGTATAGACAAGTATTACCTTGCAAATTGCAGCACAAGGTAGGTTGGAGAATGACAATGTGACAAGGTTCCCAGTGATAGCAGGCCCCTGATGCACAGACTGTAACACTCAGAAGGCCTCTAAATAAAAGGGATAACAATGGCTTCAGAAGTGAAGAGTGGCAATAACAGCAATTGACAGTAGTAGCAGTGGGAAGTATTGTGACCACACTGTATCAAAGTAGCAGTGAGTAGTGAACATGAGATTGTGGAAAAAGTCTGGATTGGATTTTTATTTTACAAGGTAGAATACAGGGGTTTATATAGTAAAAGAAAGGTAGGCTATACATAGTATAGCTGTGCAAAAAGAATGTGAAAGAATGTGAAGGAAGGAATATATGCTGACAAATCCTGCATAAGTAGTACAAGACAAGATTGTCAAAATAAGGAAAAAAAAAGGGATAGGACAATAAATGCTGTGTAAGTAATGTCACAGGTTTGTACAGCCATAAAATAAAGTCCAATAGCAGAAAGAGAGCAAGAAAATCATGATGTCATGTTATGGGAAGATGCAGTAAAAAAAGGGCAAGGCAAAATAATATCAGTATCAACACAGTTCCCTTGTTGTTAGTCAGGAATTCTAAAAAAATATGTGTCCATAAAAATGATTCAAAGTTCAAAAATAATTGCACTACAAATGAATGTTCTGCTGAAAAAAAAGGAACTGAAGCCACCGGTCCACCACCTAGTCCAAATCCGACAGTTCCATGGCCTCACCAATGGTCTGGCTGTAATGAACCACCTGGTCAAACGAGGGAGGGAGAGGAGTAGTTCCAATCTGGAACAAATGTGTCCCAGGCAGCGTGTGATAAGTGTAGCTGTAGCGAAGACAATGGACAAAGGATAAATGTACTCAAGAAAATGGGACAGCAATGTACATGGGCAACACAAGGAGATGGACCTTTTCCAACTCAAAAACTACTCACCCATGTTCCAACCAGGCGAGATGAGCGACCAATGATTTGATAGTATTTGATGGAAGATCAATGTCATGAAGATGGACCTGTTGCCCAACTTGGACCGGCTGCCAGGGCTTTGCTGATATCAACAGTGGCATGTGGTGGTCAATGGATTGGCAATGGAAGTGGATAGAAAGCGGTGACATCAGGTGTGGTGGAGGGGAAAGGAAGACAAGTAGGAGAAGCAAAGAGGTGATGGAAAAGTGGATTAAGATGGGGATCCAGAAACGGCCGTTTGGTGAGAATAAAAAGGACAGTAAAGGGCCCATGGTGGGGCTAGGCAAATAAAGGGGAGTAAGGGAAACAACAAAAGCAAGGGCGCAATGCAATGTGTAGCTAGTAGCAACGCAAAAAATTGCCAAAATGCCAAAATGCAGAAAGTACCAAACAGAAAATTAACCACAAGTTCAAAAAGGCAGTATTGATTACTATTCCATGTGGCACAAAGGCGCACCCTTGGCAGCACTTTCAAGAGGCTCTTAGGTCTTACAGATGGGGTTTTTATGTTAGCGATAACCCATCTGAAAGACCACCCTCTCTGAAGAGGGTCCCCCTAAAATCCCAATATATTTTTTGTCCTCAAATTGTTGTTTCAAGGATTTACATAAATATATGTGGAGAATATCTCCATATTACTATGATCAATGTTACAATACACCAAATGTCTACCCTCTTTGTACACTCTTTGAGAGCCTCTGTGGGAGCCTCTTTCAGACCTCATTGTGAGCCTCCCCATAAATCCATTCCAGAAGAATGTCCCAAATATGGATATAAATTATCCCTTTAAGGCAGACTTCTATGCTATTGTAACCTCTCTGTGAGCCTCCCCATCACTGCATCAAAGAAGAGTCTCCCAAATAGGGATATGTACTGTCCTTTTATGGTAAGATTCCACACTACCACCCAAAACATATCTGCTTTTGGATATGCTGATATAACCCCTATTCCAAAGAAGTCTATTTCACTGCCGTACTCACTATTTCTCACGCTTGTCTATGGATTAGATGCGGCCCCAGCACACTGCCTGGTATTCTCATTGTATAAATGATCAATTCACCTTGGCAACA